AGCTACTCAGGAAATGACGTAATACCCTTAATAAACCTTGTAACCCTTTTAAATAACAAAAGAATTAGCCCAGAACCATCTGGAAGAAAGATGACGCAATATTGCGTCATCCAGTAAGAAATGCGAAATCGCAAAGGGTATTGCGTAACCCATACCGAGGTTACGTCATCCACATAAAGCATGACGAAACTTGCTAAAAAACTTAATTAATACTCATAGATATAAGAAACATTCAGTTTATTAAGATTCCGGAACATTCTGGAAGATGATGCAATAGTTGGTTATTGCGTCATCTTTCAATCTTGCGAAAGAACCACGCCATGGTTACTAAATACAATACGTTAAAATTATAATTTTAAGTTTATTAGTTGATAATCTACGTAGTTATATTGCAAAACTCTGGAGATGACGCAATACGCCGAGATATTGCGCATCTCCATGTTCTAGAAGGATCCAAGAACAAAGGATCCTTTGTTCACCTTTTAAAACCGCGCAGAAGGCCACCTGTGTAAACAGAAGCCACCTGTGAAACAAATGCGGCCGCGAGAACAAAGGCGACCGCGAGGACAAAAGCTCGCGAGGACAAAGAGCCCGCGAGAACAAAGAGCTCGCGAGGACAAAGGATCCTTTGTCCCCGCGCCGACAGCCACCTGTGTAAACAAAGGCCACGCCCGATCGTACGATCGTCCCCACCAGCGTCGAGTGGCGAGACACGCTCCCCACTCTAGCGAACTCCCCACTCTAGCGGGCTCCCCTCCAGGCGTTGCACGATATATAAGCGGGAGCACCGGGAGCTCCGCAGTCAGTCTGTGAATAAGCTCTCGTAGCAGCAACATCGTTAGAGTCACTCTGTGAACACCTCTCGAGCCCGTAACTTCTGTCAGTCGTTCGGTCAGTCAGACAGTCGGTCAGTTAGTTAGTCAGTCAGTTAATCAGTTAGTCAGTCAGTTAGCCAGTGAACACTGTGCTCGTGCTCGTGCTACCCTGGAGAGGAGTCATCCGGGAGAATATTCCGGACCGTTCACGGCGACGTAGCGACACCGTACCCGGACAACCCGAGGGCTTGCCCACGCGGACTCTGCGTCAGTCGACCTTCCCTCTCTTTGCGAGCGATCTGTTACAGCGAACTCAATCCATAGTAAGCGTATCTCATTTTCTTCTAACCCCCTTTTGTCATTTCTCTGTTTCGCTTCGCGATCCGTTTGTGCGTTACATTTTGCATTTCTATTGCGTTCGTTTCGTGATTCGGTTGTGCGTTGCATTATTTCATTCTATTTCTCTGTTTCGCTTCGCGATCCGTTTGTGCGTTACACTCTTGCATTTTTATTGCGTTCGTTTCGTGATTCGGTTGTGCGTTGCATTATTTCATTTATTTTAAGCCTTACGTAACCTCGGCTGACATTGCGTCAGCATCTACCAAATCATAGATACGTCTTTCTAGTATTTTCTTTTATAACCTAGTGTTACTCGTATAATACTTAACCTTAAGCGACAACGCGCTTTAACAATTATTTTCAACTACCATAAAGACATTATTACTTAATTCTCGTGTAATCCTTTAGACTTAAGACGTTCTTGTGTGTGTTACTGTGTTCCCTACTTTACTTGCATATAAACGGGATAAATTGTCTTCCCTTCTTTTTATTTCATAACCTCTCAACCTGTAAGTGTTTAACT